ACATTATTCTTCGCTTATTTGGATTAAAAAAAATAAACCTACTTTCATACACAGGAGGGGGGGATTCATGAAACATGGAATTTGATGCAGTTCCAGTTCAATCTGCCAATCTGAATGTCCTACTCAGACAAGTCTTTTTCTTCTACAACAGCAATTAGAAAGTTTGCCAGGGAAATTTACCACCAGAGTGATTTAGGGGTTATTTTTTTGCATTGTGTTAAGAAGCATTACCACCACATGTAAATGAGATAAAAGTGCGGCCACTCCTCACATCACATAAGCAGTAAAACTTGCTGGCTTACCTTTTCATAAACTGGTAAATGTGTTAACACCATGCTATATACATACATACATACATACATACATACATCATCTAAACCGCTTATCCTTCTGGGTCGCGGTGGGGTGCTGGAGCCTATCCCAGCTGTCATTGGGCGGAAGGCAGGATACACCATGCTATTTACCTATTTGCTAAATGTAGTGCATTTTATGAACCTGGCCCACTGTGTATTAAACCACATCAACAAGTCTGCATTACCTTAATGAAGACCTGGATATGGTTTAAACAGGCTGAGACAAGTTTTAGTGATGTATTTACAGAAAGGTTTTGGGTGACTATTGACTTCTAGTGTTTGTTAGCAATGTTAGCCTTGAAGCTCCAGCACTAAAAAGTAAAGAAGCAAAAATTGGACACTAAGCCTATCTTGGCTGATCAACTATATCTGATATAGTGGCAAATTGTGTCAATCTGATTTTTCCCTAACCCATTCCTTTAACATGGTAAGTTACTGTGACGAACACATACTTATATGTATTTAGGCGTCCACATACTTTTGACAGACAGCGTATTTCAGATAAATTCATTTGATCCCAAGCTTGTGACCAATCATGTGCTTCAGGGCTGTGAGCTATCATATGAGTAAAGCGGCAGGGTGGGAAGGTTTAGGAATTTAGGAAGGTTTAGCTTTCCGCTGAAGCTCTCAACAACCAGAATGAATTTTCGAGCTGAAAATAGTAGATAAACTGGGTCATAAGGGATTATGTGGAATAAGTTTGACAAAAATATGTGACTCAGCAGTTCCAGCATCCAGGTTTCCCGCGGTTACAGCATCATTACAGCACCGTGGAAACAGACCACGCCTACATATCACACATTCGCTTGCACTATAAACACAGCACAACAACACCAAATATAAACAAATTTATTCATTTTTTTGTCATGAAAAAAGAAACAAATGTACAAAAATCTGTAAGACATTCATCCAGCCAGTGAAAGCAAGGCATTTGTGTTTACAGCATCAGTAGGGCCGGTGGTTCCAATTCTGCCTCCATGTGCATGCTCAGAGTTAACGTAAATATGAGGTCCTGACCTAAAAGGTGCTCAGTATCCGCTCTTTGAGTTGGAAACAATTGTAATTCATGAGTTCCAACACAGTACTGACCTTTACCTGTTCATCATGGTGGAGAAAGGAGCAGTTTTAGTGGACAATTTTAGGTAATTGTGTTTTTCTAAATGAAACTTATTTTTAACCATCATTAAGCCATAGACGTTTGTTTATATCGAGCTATCAAAAAAAGATAAATTGGCAGTTTGCATGATAATGAAGCCTTTTAAATTCTCCTACTGCTCTCTATTACAGTTAGAAACAGACCTGAAAGCAACACCCATTTATATGCATTTATATGCTCACATGAACTACTGTTCAAAAGTTTGGAATCACTGTTTTCAATAATATCAAAAAAAAGTTGAAGATACATGCATTAAAAGATGGTACCACTCAACAACGTCATAGGTTTCCACTAATTTGTAGGAAATAGTAAAAAATGAAGAAATGTTAGTTGTCCGTATTGATGAACAGAGCTGTAGATGATTTTATAATGACTCAGAAAGCTGGTGATCAAATCCTGAGGCAGATTATGTATCAAGAAATATCTGTAAACAGACAATCATTTATTCAGTCATCATCTAAGCCACTTATCCTCCTGGGCTGGGGGGGTTGCTGGAGCCTATCCCAGCACTCATTGGGCAGAGGGCGGAAGGCAGAAGATACCCTGCACAGGTCGCCAGTCAGTTACAGGGCAGACACACAGACTTATACACTCACACATACATTCACACCTAGGGGCAATTTAGCATCTCCAATTGGCCTGGCTGTATGTTTTTGGCCTGTGGGTGGAAACCGCAGCAAACACGGGGAGAACATGCAAACTCCACACAGAAAGCACCCTGCTCACCCGGCCGGGGAATCGAACCCAGGCCCTTCTTGCCGTGAGGCGACAGCACTGTTTACTGCCCTGTAAATTGGCAATTACATAATGTTATTTAGAAATTAATAACTTCTTGATTAAAATATTGCATACACCATCTTAAAGACCTCCACCCTGCCCTCAAAATGTGTTTTTTACATAGTTATTTCTCCTTGAACTACTTATTATTGTTATATAGTCTGAAAGGTGTTACTGTAGTGCAGCATTCACACTTTTCCATTAAAACACACACTTTCTCAGTACATTCAAAAACATTCATTCATTGGGCACCATGTAGCAGCTGAGTTTTGTACGTCACTAATGATCTTGAACCTATCCTGGTCCAATATACTAAAATATGCTAATGAGTAGACAAGGATGCAGGAAGGTGTCTTAAGCTGGGGAGTGCTGAAATTATAAGCTGTATGAGCGTGATGTAAACGGTGATGTCATGCAAAATGATTTGCCTTTTTTGTGTCTTTTGAATTTTTTGATCATTTACATCAAACAGAGCGTCATGATGTGGCGAGAGATGACAATATGCACAATATGCCCACATAACTGACACAATAAGCTGCAGATGCACTTCCTGATTTCTTTGCTCTCTGTCCTTCCGGCCAAACTGTATGGAAATGTGTTGAGCCACGTCCAGTCAGGTTGCATGGTAAGCAATAGTGTCACACCTACAGTCACACTCTGAGCGGGAGATGTAACAGTTGATAAAAAAAGGAATGTATTTAAAGAACTGGACATCATTACATTCTTTTTAAAGTCTTAAAAACAAGGTTAGGCAGCTTTTGGGCTCAAAAAGGGCCTACAGTTCTGCACACATGTCCCTCATCTCAACCTCGTTTTAATGAAAACACATTATTAATGTAAACAGTGCAGCTACTGCAGGTTTTTTAAATATACGATTAAAATACAAAAATACAAACTCCACTCTAAAACAAGCAGATGTAAGTCCTTACTATGTTCAAATTAGTTTCAAGTTCAGACCTTTTCTCAAGATTTTAGCAGTTACAGTTAACTAGTGCTGCTCCCACCACTTCCGGCAGAGGATTATGAGTGGCAACAGAAGCTAACAGCTACAGAACATGCCTTACTTATGTCTAACGTAGCTTACTTGTTTGAAATATTTTGACTCTGCAGTAAGTTGTTAGCTAAAATAGATAAATGGCTTTGATACTTAAAATGACCTCAGTGTCAAATTTATATTCTACATTTATCTATTAATCTGTTAAATGTGCTGTGTGGAGCTGTTCTAGGAACAGGTAGCATTCTACTGCTACTATAGCTTAGCATGCTAGTTCCACTGTGTGAGGGGCTTTATCAAGAAGGGGACAGATATTCCTATAATGACTTTATTCATATCTTCCTTAGCACCAGATGCTAACGTTAGCTCACCAAGAAGGCTAAAGCACCAGCAATTCCAGCTCACTGAAGCCTCACTGAGGCAAGTTTAGAGGATAAAGACTCACATCTAAACAGATAGATCTTTTTTTTAGGTGTGTTAGTCTTAACTTTTGATTCACATCCTCATTAACACCAGAGGCTAACGTTAGCTCAGTGTGACGCTAAACCACCAGCAGTTCCAGCTCACTGATGCTGTGCTGAGGCAAGATTAGAGGACAAAGACTCAAATCTGAGCAAGTGAAGCAGAGTGACAGGTGATGAAGTGACAGGAGGAGAGGATCTTTCTGATTATTAGTTACAGTGGGAGCTTTGTTTCTGCTCTTTCTCATCTGTTCAAACATAGAGACAGTGTGCAGTGTAGTGAGAAAGGGACAGGGTTTAGAAAAGGGGCAGCAATAGGGCATTTACAATTTGCATAATTGTGCATATTCATAGATATTCGTAATAAGTGTTGAGGTTTAGGGATGCTCCTATGCCATTGTAGCCTTCTAGGGCATAACAATAATACATACACATACATTTAACCATTTTTTATTCTATATAGATGTTTTTTTTGTTTGTTTTAATTTATCACATTATGGATAGTTTAAATTACTTTCTAGTGTCTCGCTTATAGGATTTTAATTTACAATGTTTAGGCTATTACTGAATAAAATAACAACAGTTATTCATATGATGAGTGATTCCAAACTTTTGAACAGTACTGTATGTTTTAGCCACATAGTGTTTTATAGTTCTTTTTATTAAGCTTGTCTTTGAATGGCTGTAAAAGGCTTTATGCTCTATATTTTTGTAATGAAGTATTTTGCAATTTTTGAAAAGGCTATGCATGATTTATTATTTTGGAATTACTTCCATGCGTGTATCCATGTTAAAATACAGTGGCAGACCTACTTACATCAGTAACTGTTGGTTGCATTAAGTACATTCGTGCAATGTGAGCATGATACCGAAATAGATCAAGCCAGTTAACTAGCTAAGCATGTTTCCGACTGCAAGGCACTGCAATGACTTCGTAATTATGATGTTGCAATGTGAAATAGGGTCCGATAAGCATGTGAAGGCAGAATAAATCACATTCATAGGATTTTTTTGGGCACCAGCCCAAATTTTACAAGTGCAAATGTGTCTAGAGAGAGAGAGAACATTACACACAATAACTCTTATTGTGATGGGCTTATATACACATGCAGACAGACAGACAGACAGACCACACATGCTCACCCTCTGTAAAATACATATACTCATACGCATACACACTGACACACACATACACACATAACAGGTTCCTGAGCTAGATAATATAAAATAATACTGAGCAACAAACATCTACATGTGAATAGTGGTGGGCAATATGATATTTATTATTATTGTGATAAATTATATCACAATATGCTTTCCTGAGCACATCATGGATATCATCAGTACTTTGGAAACCTGACCAACAGCATGTTTAACACTAAGGGATCAAGAGAGGTTGGAAAATGGTCATGTAAAAATAAATTAAGACCATTTTGGTACATAAAACCACTCAAATATTACAAGTGGAACTGAAGGAAAAAATTAAATAGAAGAAAAATGTTGGGCATGAGCCGTTAAACAGTCTGTACATATTACATTCATTTCCTCATGATATCGGCCCTTAAAATGTGTCACCACAGGTTTTTTTGTGTTCCAATTTATCAGAAGAACAAAATGTGGTGATTCATATTACCCACCTCTACATGTGAACAATATATTAAAGACTTTAACTGAAATGGACAGAGAGTGTGCGCCGGTGTCAGACACAAGCTCTCGTACTGTAGAAACACTCTAATAGAGCGATGCCTATCATAAACACACAGCTCTCTCAGTATACTGAGTCACTCTCAGCCGGGTCAAATGTAGGTCAGATTCTAAACTCAATGTATTCAATAGAAAAGAGCCTCTAATCCACCTTTAACTTGCAACAGAAAGGCTATAAAGCTCAAAATGACACATCGCAGCCTGTCTACATGGGATTAGCAAGGCACCAATTTAAATTACACATTCACAACTGTGTCTTTTGAAGGAGTTCACTGAAAATTAATAATTTTAATAATTTACACAATTTTGCTCTTACCTCAAAACAAGTCAGTCCAAGACATGTTTGATGTCTGAAGTTTGCTTCTTTAGTTCTGGAACTATAGAAGCTCATGTTTACCAACTGGCATCATGCAAACTCCATGCCTAAATCATCTCACACTTGTCTCAAACCATGGTGAGTTGTTAAATAATGTAAATCTGAGATTATGACACATTCTCCTTCCGTAAAGCCTGTAAAGCAACTGCTCATGATCCAAAGCATACCATCTCATCTGTGAAGCATGGTGGAGGTAGTGTTATGGCTGGGGAAGTACGGTCAAACTGGTTTCCTTGTATTTATTGATGATGTGACTGCTGTCAAAAGCAGCACAAGGAATTCTGAAGACTAGAGCTATAGTATCTGCTCAGATTCGGCCAAATGCTTCAAAACTAATTGGATGATACTTCACAGTGCAGACAGAAAATTAAATGTCCCAAGAACAAGCAGGAACCAAAGACAGCTGCAGTAAAGGCCTGGCAGAGTATCACCAGGGCAGAAGCTTAATGTCTGGTGATGGGATTCAGATCTCAAAAAGTTGATTACTGCAAAAGATCTGCAACCAAGTATGAAAAATGACAATTTAATTTATGATTGTGTTCTGTTCAATTACATTTAAGCTCCTAAAAACGTGGGTGGGGGGGGGGCTGTATATGAAAATGGTTGTAAATCCTACACCATTCACCCAATTTAGATGTAAATACCCTCAAATTAAGTCTCCACTTTTAACGCATATTCATATTATCACATAAATCCAAATATGTATGGATCTTATGTATGGACTCAGGAGGGTCTCTGAGATTGCAGAGCATTTTGCTTGATGATAGGTTTAGGAAGTTTAGGACATTTTAGAGGTGGGCAAAATAATTAAGCCTGAATTAGTCTCTACTTTTGAGTTGATTTAAGAATGCAGTCCACCAGTACTGCTAATTGGTGGAATATAAGCTATTTAATGACTTGTTAGCTGGATTATCCTAGTAGCTCTAGAACAAAGCTAAATGAACTTCAGATACCAAATATGTCTTGGCTAATTGACCACATTTTGAGTAAGAAAAAAACTGTGAATTTGATTTTTGGCCAAACTATCGCTTTAACTATCACAGTTTTGCCCAAACTGTCTCTTTAGGTGTGTGTATATGTGAGTACGTGTGTGAGTCTTCACTGGCTCTCAACAGTCCCAGTGCAAATGAAGGTCCGAGCTGTCCAGAAAGTCAGTGGAAAACACACTGGTGGGTGCATGTCCATTCAAGGACATCGTAACCGGCCCGTCTCCTATTGACCCGCCAATGCCCAGGTCCAGCCAGTCCATGCTGTCCAGAGCAGATTCAGCCAGCTCCAACCCAGTGCGACTGGAGGTCAGTCCAAATTCGTATGTGTCCATGGGAGATGAAGGATGGTCCAGGATGCTGGGCGTACTCAGTAACTGGCTGTGGAGTTCGTCGATCAAAGTCACATGACCTCCAGGCTCCACCCCCAAAAGGGGTTTTCCAGTGGTGCTTTCTAGGAAATCCTCCAGACGCCCATTAATTGTGCTGCAGCTATTAAATTCCTCCTGAAATGGAGGCTCTTCTGATGGTAATGAAGCTCCAAGGGGTGTGTCAGGAATGGAAGGAGTGGGTGGAGAGAGATGGAGAGGGGAGGGGCTTGGGGAAATAGGTGGGCTGTTCGCACAGATGCGGGACAGAGCAGGGTCCGGAGTAGGTTTGAAATTCACTGAGATTTCTACAAAGAATGTTTTTTAAAAAAAAAGTTAGTCAAATATGTGGAAAATGCTAAACAAAAGCAGAAGATGTTGTTTGCAACTTACCACCACTCTGCACCAGGATGTCAAACAGGTTGTCAATCTTCTGAGTGCGTCCACTCTTCTGCAAACACACACAGATACATACACGCAGATTTAACAATGCACAACTGTGGGATACTATAGCCAGCCATGATATATCAATATAGAAACAGAGAGAGAGAAAGTAAAAACAAGTAACAGGTGTGTAAAATGTATGGATCTGAAGAAACTGCATACATTTGGGTACTATTTTACAGTAAGACTATAATGGGTTTATGTATGGTTATTAATTAAGTCATAAACACCTTTAAATCATTAACAAATGGTTATATCACATTAATGAACAGGGCAAAAGTGACCCTTTATATCTGCTGAATATGAATATCTGATAAAAATCTGAGCTTTAACAGGGGAAATGATTAGATAAATTACAATTCACTATTGCCATTATTGTGATTTTTAAGGTGTTTATGACTGAATAAATAACCATAAACACTCATTTTAAACTATCCATAAATTCTTCATCTTATTCTAAAGTGGTACCAAATTTTGGAATGTAAAAATCATTTACCAAGTAACAATGTTTAATACAATGAGCTCTCATTTTCTGTCTGGTATTGTCCCAGGCTACTTTTAAATGTAAAATAATAATAATAAAAAGCTTGGTGTAATGATTCATTGCCTATATTCCACTACTGTGAAAATAGTCTCTCCAATTACATTGTATTCAGTTATATTTGCATTTTTAAACACAACAGTATCAAAACTGAATCATTTTAAAATCAGAGAGTTACAACTAGTGACAGCATTAGTTTCTATTTTAATGTGCATATATTCAAATATGCAGTACTGCACAAAAGTCTGAGGCACTTAAGTAAATTGTTTAAAACCATTTATTCTCAGCAGTGAGAGTGTGGACAAAAACACCACTGAATGCAAAAACAAATGCAGTAAAAATTACAAAGAATTTCTTTAATAATAAATTATTGATACAGTGTTCTATATTTGGGTTTGATATCTTGTGAGTTGGTTTAAATCCATTACCTGAATTAATTTAATGATGTTCTGATTAGCAAAACCAGGCACTGAATGATAACTACTAATAATCCTGGGCTTCCTTAAGGAGAGGTGTGGAAATGGTTGATCCTTTACATGTCCAGGGTCTATCAGCAGGCCCAAAGTTTTATTACACACTTCTATAACCTAAGAATAACTCAACCAGTTTGCACTAAAGTCCCTGTAGTTACTGAATAATAAGACTTAGTATGTCATAAACCTGGAATTTTAAGTGGTTTACCTACATAAAATCTACACTTGCTGTACTCAATGTTTTAATACTTATTTGTTACAGATATTATTCTAATATTAGTGTTTTTTTTCTTAGGAAACACTTATTGTCCAGACAAAGAGGTGCCTACAGCTTCTGCACAGCACTGTAGTTACCTGTGTTTGTGTATGCTGATTGATTAATAGACTGATTAATAGACTGAAGCAGTCCAAGCTGAATCACATAGGATGTAAGGTGAATATGAAGATAAATATGAATGTGTTGTTTTTTGTGACGTCACAGAAACAACAGGCTGTTTTACAGCTTAGTGTCCATGTAGACTGTATGGACTGGACTGTTAATAGCAAGGTGAAAAGGTAAGGAAAACTCAGTTTTCTACTATATACAACATATTCCATTTTAACATACTGTATGTGGTTCATCACTGCTGTAAATAATACAGGAGGCTAATTATTCTAAACAGTCTTCTTCATGTAAACATCAGTCTACAGCCAGCGTACGAAAATTAATCATGGCATTCAAAATTTTACAAATTTATTTTGAATAGATCAGGAAAAAGAAGCTGAAAAACACTGGCAATGAGCTGATAAGCATATTCACATTCCACTGATTTTCTGCATAATCAAATGGTTAAGATGTAAACAAACTCATTCAGAGCAGTGTGATGTGAAATGCTCTGTTCTAGAGAAACTTGCAGAGTTAGAATCGTTCACAGTGGTGGTGATCAGAAGAAAAAAAAAACCCTGAAGCATTTAATGCCTCTAAAAGCTCCCTCACAGAAGGGGACTGCATGAAAAAGTTACGAATATACTGCCTGTTTTAAAGAAATTGTCTTTCGATTGTTTTGCGATAAGCTTTTTGGCTAATTTAACATCCATTCACAGCGGAGGGGTACAGTAGGACGCTGCAAGACAAAGCAGTACCCAAAACCCAAACCCAAAACTTGTTTTCTTTTTCAGATATACCTTTATTTTACCATTATCAACAATACAAATAAAACTCAGAAGACATATAGGTTCACTGGTCATTTTGGATAGTAAATAAAATGGGCAGTTTTGTGTTGCAGGCTTTGTGGTTTCTATCGATGCCACTGTAAAGAAATCTGAGTTGAAAAGTTTTTGTGCAATGTATTATTTCACATCAAACCACTCTGAATGACTTTGTTTAAAAGTTAGTGATTGAATTATGCAGAAATTTAGGTGGAGCTTCCATTTAAACCACTAGAGCAACAGTGAGCTTTGATGTGTAATATGGCATTACAGTACATGTACTCATTTTCAAAACTTGCATTTTTTTTTAGGGTTTTTTTTTGGAGTGTGAAAAGGCCTAAAGGCTTTGTTGCACTTTTTAGCCCACATGGAAACTGTCCTAGGTATACTGAATTTGTCACTGTAAAATGCTCAGTTTTAAATAACTAAAAAAAGAAATAGAAAATGAGACAAACAGAGAGAAAGGAAGGAAACAGACAGACAGTGATAGAGAGACATACAGAGAGACAGAGACAGAGAGAGAGAGAGAGAGAGAGAGAGAATGGAGACAGAGTTGTTACCTTTCGGCGTGAAGTTGGAGTTGTATTTACTTTAGGTGAAGGAGGAGTAAACAGAACATGCTGATCTATACCCAAATACGTCTCGTCCTGGTGGACAGGCTAGAATAGATGAAGAAGAGAGAACAAAGAAGGAGGAGAAAATGAGACTGAAAATTAACTGATAAAATACAGAATAATTATCACTAGAGAGTGATGCTGAAAAGAGCATGTACCTTCAGTAACAGATGAATTGATGATTTGTTCAACAGCATATTAGACTTAAAAACAGATGGCTCTTTAGTAAAGGAAATTGTTCTGAACCCTTTTTGGTGCTATATAGAATAAACTGTGCTAGATATACTGAATTAGCAACTGTAAAAATGCTCACAGTTTTATATAACAAAAAACAAGTTATTTATTGATAATGGATAATTGATAAATGGATAGAAATGTTTAGTTACATGGGAGAAACATATATAGGAAGGCGAGAGAAATAAGAATGACTGAGAGAGAGAGAGAGAAAATGGAAAGAGCTGTTACCTTTCGGCGTGAAGTTGGAGTTGTGTTTACTTTAGGTGAAGGAGGAGTAAACAGAACGTGCTGATCTACACCCAAACACATCTCGTCCTGGTGGAGAGATGGAGAAAAGAGAAACAAGGAGGAGAAAATGAGACTGAAAATTAACTGACAAAATTACAGATTAATTATCACAGGACAGCATGCACCTTCAGTTACAGATGAAATTGTTTTTCAACACTGTATTACTTATAGCTGTCTATCTGAGTTAAACTGCTGGCTCATGAACGTGGCTGTGCTACTGTCTCAGTTTCCAAGGCATCGGCCAGGTTAAAAGCATCCCTAAAGTGCCCCAGTGCTCTCACAGGTAAGCCAGGGGAAGGTTTACACAGTTCAAGATATGATCAAACCAAGTTATCCTGCTATGACAGCTAGTGCCCAGCAGGGGGAGCAGAGCGCATCAAAGCATTCACAGAGGAACTCTTTAACATAGTAACAAAACTAAACCACCTAATAAAAACAAACACCACCAGTAATAAAATCAATAACCAATACTAACAGTTCACTCAAGCATGCCTGATCAACACATCACAATTCATTCTTAATCCTTACCATGTGATTGGAAGAAGAGTGGCCTGGATTGCTAACTGACTCCATGGTGAAAAACGGTTGCACTTTGGACGATGTGCAGAATGACGATGAGCGTGCTTTCATGTGATTGGTCGACCCATGTTTCTCAGGTTTCAGCGCCTGTGGAAGTTAAAAGCATCAGTCACAATTAGCTATGCTAATAAGCATGCCATGCTAATAGCTCAGCGCTAATAAGTCAACAGTTTGAGTGTGCTCACCTCATTAGCTACTTCCATGCTAATAAGCCGATTCAGTGAACCCTCTTTTTAGCACTGCCCACAATTATGAGGCATATTATCCATTTAATTAGTGCAATCATAAGCCCCATTACAACACTCAATTGCCTATCAATGATGTTTAATGTGGTATAATTTCCATCATTAATTTGAATGGCTGTGACTCAGGACAACTTTCCCCCTCATTAACCAAGATTTTCCCCAGATCTTTTTAGCAGTAGTCTGAAGAGCAGCGTGCTGCCCGCAAAACTGACAATATTGTTTCGTATCAGTCACACAAAATTACCCCTCAGTGCTCTAATGATAAAATACCAATCTTAATAAAGGCTGCAAGTGTTAGCCACACAGATTAGCATTTCTATCTGTTTTCCACTAATTTTGTAAAAAAAGGGGTGTAATCTAAGGGAGGAATGTTGTTAAAAAGAGATACCATTATTCTAATATAGTAGAAAACATGTTAAATGATACATGTCAATAAATATACAGTTACAATAACACCTTTAGAGGGCAGCAGTAAGCAAAGTTTGTTTATCTAAGCATTGTCTTCAGTTAGAAGTTTTACTCTATCTTAGCTAACATTAGCAGTTGAAGCTAATGTTATTGAAAAGCTATAAAGACTTGTGGAAACACAATTTAGCTAATATTTAGCTAATAAATACTCTATGCTATACTGCTATCCAGGTATTTATTACATTTAAACAAAGAAAGATGGAGAAAATATACAGGTCAAAAATTCAGTGAAATGTGACTGTTTTCATCGTATTTACAAGCAGGTATACACATTATACTATACTTTGCTACTATAAAACATGAATGCCTTAACAAGAACATGTTAAGACATGACTGAGGTAGCATGGCTGTAACTAGACTAACTATTGTAGCTAATGCTAGCTAGGTCAAAAACAGTGAAAATACATTTCTCTGAAAATCTAACATGTTTCTGCATCATCCACTGAGAAGAAAATACCTCATGTAGAAGATGATGAGCCCTTATCAGCATCCAATGCTGTACTTTTAGCTCTAGAATAGCCTATTAGCTTACATGAAGCCATGGCCTTCATCCAACATGAAAACTTCCCATGAAAATTTTCCCTTGGCTACTTCTGAATGACAAAAATGTTTCAGATGTCTTCCTCTATGTAGTGTAGACCCACAGAGTTAGGCTACTGAATTTTTTTTGCCTCTTAACACCTTTGCTATCACCTAAATATGAAGCCTAAAGTCCTACGTTAATTTCAGCCTTTGACTTTTTTTTTTCCTTGGCTGCAGTTAACCAAATATCCATTCATTAAGTCTTACAGATACTCAAAAATCAAAACGAGTCAGGATATACATCCATAATATGTGGATGTGCCAATTACTATTTTTAGAATTATCACTTTGTAAAGAGTTTGCGAAGGTAACGCTGCTAGATAGGTTATGAGAATGTTATTAGCATGCATGCTAGCCCTTTTTCCCATTTCCATCCCCCCAAATTACAAATTAACAGCCTCCCCCTTGATCCTGTAGCCCCCTGAACTGCCCTTTTTGCATTTCCCTGTTCTAAGACACTCATTTTCAACTCTTAAAGGGTTTGTGAATAAGTTGAGGAGTTGTGTTGGCTGAGCTGTAGGAGGGCAAATGCTAAATTGCTCAGTTTAGAGAAAAAACTGCTTCAGATGAAGTTACTGTGAAAAGAATCTCACCTTTTTTAGTGGCTGTTTACAGATCGTCTGCTGTTTTGACTGGACGTCACTGTTAGGCATCTGAGGTGCTGACTGGCTGGGTAACTTGCTGGGTGTGGACTTTTGTCTCTGTAAATGATGTACAAGGATATCAATGGATAAAACAAAAATCAACACATTTTATTAATTCAGGCCTTAGTACGACCCCTGCCTGGTACCTGTGGAGTGACCCGATTAGTCACTTTGTTCTGGGGACTGTTGCTGGCTTGGTTATTTGTGTTGTGATTGGTCAGCTTTAGCAGGAAGTGGTTGCCGTTGCTGTCCGTCAGCAGAGTTTGGGAAGAGTTAGGTTTAAGGCCGCCCCTCGGGAAGGAGGAGGGGGCACCTGATTGCTGATTGATGAACACCTGAGACACCTGTGTGAGGACATTTTAGATGAAAATAAAAGTAAATATATACGTAATTTTAAAAAAAAGCCTCTTTATTTCCTCTGATTATTATTTTTATACCGTTTGAAAACGGCAGTTGCCTTTACATTGTGTGAACATTTCATGATGAATGGATAATGAAAAGCAGATTGATTCAATCCTAACAGATGTTTTAGGATGTTTTCATCTTTTATAAAGTATCTTTGATATTTTGTTACAACAGTGACATTTACAATTTGAAGGGACGCTCTGGCTTTTCTAGGTTTTCAGAAGAAACCTATGTCTGCTTATTGGGATCCTATCACTTTTACAAAGATGGTGCTTCAAGGGTCCTTTAATAAAGAAAATGGTTCTATGGAACCATGAACACTCAAAGAACCCTTTTACATGATTAAAATATTCTTTGCGTCATGAAAGGGTTCTTCAGATTGATGGAGAATGTGCTGTAGACGGTTCTATATAGAACCTTTTTGAAAACAGTAAAAAGTAAATTCTGTTGTTACGGGGTCAAGCTTGTAACAATCAAAGAACACTTTTGGGTGCTGTATAGAATTCCTCATTACAGTAGAGAGAATGGATTATTCAAACAACAAAACGATAAGCTGAAACTATTTTTTTCTAGCAGAAAGGGTAAAAAAGATAAATAGTAATAAAGATATAATCAATTTTGCTTGATGACCAAGATAAGAGTTTGTTAGCTTGTATGTTGTATTAGCTTGAAGCTCAGTGGCTAGGCTAGCTGTCAGGACTGGCTGACACCAATAGTAGTGAAAAAAAACAGATATTTGCAAACATGACCGAAAACCGATGAGACTGAGGAACATAATTGTGTGCTAAGGAAAACAATATAACACAACAAATAACAAATTAACCTCAACAGTCTCATCCGAAATGGTCCCCTAATCACTATACCCTACATTTAAAAATCTGTATCACTATATAAAACACTATTATAGAGATCAGAATTTGTGATGTTGGACACTAATGTTATATGAGTTTACTCATTACTTACAAACAACACAGTGCATTTTGGGTATCCCCTGTCTGCTAGGGTACATCGGTGGTACACTACTTATTGCAGTGCATTGTGCGATTGTTTGAGTGCACTATGTTTTGGAACACTACTACAAAATGGCAAAACCCCACACTTTAAAAAAAATGGTGCTTCAAAGGTTCTTTAGTAAAGAAAATGGGTCTATCTAGAACCAAGAACACTAAAAGAACCTTTTCTTTGCATCATGAAAGGGTTCTTCAGACTGATAGAGAATGTACTGTAGAAGGTTCGATATAGAACCTTTTTGAAAATGGTTCTATATACACTCAAAAGGGTTCACTATGTGGTGAATATGGAACAGTTTTAGTGTTTTTTCTGCTATAATACACAGTGCGTGAGCTGATGAGCTGAATCTAGTGTGTGAGAGAGAAGGGCAAACACTAAACTGTGCATAAACCCACTGTAAGTGAGCTGACCTGCTGAGAGTTGTGCTGTTGCTGCTGCTGCTGCTGCTGTTGTTGCTGCTGTTTGCTGAGTGTCTGACTGGGTTGCTGTTTGTGTGGTTTTTTGCGCCTGTGTTGTGTTTGTTTGCGCAGGTTGAGCTGGTTCTGCTGCAGGATGAGTTCCTCTAAGACCTTCTGCTGCTGCGGCTGCAGCTGCTGCTGTGTTTGCTCGGTCTGTATCTCCTCCACCTCCTCCATGGGGATGTCCTGAGGCTCCTCCTTCACTTTGATTAGTTGGTGTGGTGTGAAGGCCACGCACCCTGTCTGCTGGTCCTGCAGCTGTGAGCGCAATCTCTCCACCAGCCGCTGTTTCTGCTGCAGCATGCGGGTCAGCTCTGCAATGCGCCGGTCTTTCTCCTGCAGCATCCAGTCCTTATCCACAGGGGGTGCTGTGGCCAGGAAGGGGTGGGAGGGACAGCGGGCTGCTGGGGGCAGGGCTGGAGGTGATTCATCTATAATGTGGATGGTGGGCGGGGTGGGGGGTGAGGGCTGGAGGGAGAGCTGAGTTAGAGGAGAACTCACCTGGAGGGAGAGAGAATGAATGTGAGACCAATGGACCAATAGAAATGCTCCAAATTGATATAGGATGAAATCAATGTACAAACCCAGTTCCAAAAAAGTTGGGATAGTGTATAAAAATGCTAATAAAAAAAATGATGCAATGATCAGTAAATTCTGTTTGACCTGTATTAAGGTGAATTTTTTTTTGTTTTGCCTTATGCACTTTGTGGACAATGTGGATGTTTTTTGTAAATATATTCTCTTTCCAAATATGACACCCACATTTCAAACCAGCTGAGACAGGAGCATGTTTACCGCTGTGTTACATCACCTTTCCTTTTAACAGCACTTAATAATCATTTGTTGTAGTACTTTGAGCTAAATGAAACACGTTTTCGATGGGAGACAGGTCTGGACTGCAGGAAGGCCAATCTAGCATATGCACTCTCTGATTATCCAACCATGCTGTTGTAACACGTACCAAATGTTTCTTGGCATTGTCATTTTGAAATAATCATGAGAGTCTCTGAAAAAGACCCTGTTTAGAAGACAGGGAAGGTTGCTGCAAAGTGTGTTCAGCATTAATGGTGTTTTCACAGATATGCAAGTTACTCACTAATACTGCCCCCCCCCCTTTGTGACAACATCTGTTGTAAAAAGCGCTATATAAACAAATTTGACTTGACTTGACTTGACTACTGCCCATACCATGATAGACCCTGTCTGTTAAACTTTAAACTAGTAAAGTTACTGTGCAAAATCTCTGTGTCACTGTCATGCCACAAACTGTCACCTCTAACTAAGAGGTGGTTTAGTGAGTCACTGGTGGGTCCAGCATCCAACTGACACATCTCTTCATGCGTATAATCAAGTTTACACATTTACACTTGAGGCTAATTTGTGCAGAATATGTGGTCCTCAAATGTGTAATCAGGTATTGTATTGATTTTCTGAGAACCCTCCTTTATTTTCTCTACCTATGTCCCATCTTTGGTCAACTTGGTCGGAATGATGCCAAAAATGATTCTGGTTGTCCTAATTGTCTGCTCATTCTTTTAGCTACACTGAGAAGTTTTTTTTTTTTTTTCATTTGCATATTTCATAGTGAGTCATACTGGTTTCTAAACCACTTCAACTTGTCTGTGCAACCTAAATTAAGAAGTGGATTTGGTTTGAGAGAAGTTTTGGGCATGTATTTACAGAAACGGTTTAGGTGATCATTGACTTCTAGTGCTTCTTAGCATAACAGCTCCAGTTCTAAACTAAAGAAGCAAAATTTGGATATCAGATATGTCTTGGCTGATCAACTGCACTTGAGGAAAGTGGGAAAGCATGTACATTTGATTTTTCGCCAAGCTATTCCTTCAATTGACCAACTGACTACTATTTACAGAGATACATGTTTTGGAATTCTCCTGTCCTTTGAATGCCTGGCTATTGTATTGAGAGGTCGAGAACCTACCCTGTTGCTAGCTGCTTACCATCCACTAAAGCATACGCTCTGAATTCTCAGAGCTCTTGTCTGTTTCTCTCATCATGACAAGATCCTTCTTATCAGTAGCATCTTGTCATAATAAGTCAAAACCTTATCAAGATACCCTACATGTTACAAATCCCACCCACAATTGAGGTCATGTCCCAGATTTCAAGTTTCTCAAGGGTTATGTACAAACATAGTTGCAGACATTGCAATATCCCTTTTTTCGACATCTATGTATACAAAGAAGTATGATACGGAACCGAAGGTTAGAAAGAAACACCATTTGAATACTCTACAACTGCTATCATATTAATCCCTTCAATAACAGACCTCTCTACCCTGAAACCACAGTAGTATATGATATGGTTGTGTATACACACATGGTGTCACTGTGAATGAAGAAGTGTAAAACTGAACGTACCATTTCCCCAAATGCATCTCCATTACAGGTGTGGTCATCTGGGCTCGTTCCAGCAAATGAGTGCTCCGAGTGGGTGGGCGACAGAGGAGAGGTGGGGCTGCAACTCCCAAATTGCATCAGTTGAGGCTGAACTGCAGGTGGAGCTCCACCCCCTCCCACAGTTGCGACCAATGGGAGAGTTGCCACCACCATGCCAGTGTGTCCTGATTGATGCAGAATTGCGGTAGATGCTGAGGGTTGGACAGTCAGTTGTTGCTGCTGTGGTGGCTGGGACGTGCTGGTGTTAGAGGCTGCAGGCACACTAGGGCCCACTGTATTGTTGGGGGGATCATTGCCCCCATTCTGTTCATGGAAGTTCTTTAGACGCTCTATAAGGTCGTTTTTGGTCCCAGAGACAGTGAGGCCACGGATTTTGAGTTCCTGCTTCAGCTCTGCCACCTACAGGTCAAAGAGACAAATACAGGTCTTTTCATGAATAGTCTGATATCTTTGTTTAACATTTTATATAAAAAATACATTGAACTAAACAGAATAGAATTAAATTGAATAGAATGGATTACGTAATTGTTCCCAGAGGGAAACTGCTTTGTTGCAGGAGCATACATAAAATTGTAGTTTTATGTACACTACTGTTCAAAAGTTTAGCATCACTTATTTCATTCCTATGAAACCGAATCTTTGAAGATACGTGTGTAAAATTATCCTACGATGAAAATAATTCTTTACAAGTTTCAAACAGTTTGTAGAAACCTGTAAATATGAAAATATTTTTGATGATAAATGGAGCTGTACGTGATTTCATGATAATCAAGAAATCTGTACAACATTCAGAATGAACTTATAAAGAACCTGACATCCACAATGCTTCATATTTAAAAACCAATAACCACATCTTGCTAATTAAACAGCTATTCATAGCATTTTCTTGACAATAAATTCCAGTAAACAGATAATTATAGCTTATTAAATTTATATTACTCCTATTATACTTTAAACTGTGAATAATCCATTTGTTGACGTTTTGCTGTCTACAATCTACATTATATGAGTTATTACTGAATAACAATTATTAATATGACAAGTCGTTTTAAACCTTTAAGAGGTAGAGTATGAATGGCTAGTTTAAAGTGATAAAGTGACCAATGAATAAGTAAGCACAATTAAGGGACAAGTGAACAAAAGAGCATAATAAGCTGATGTAAATGGAGTTCAATTACAATAAAAAAGATACAATTAGAATGAAACCGAACAGAGTAGAATATATGCAAATAGAACAGAATAGAATATAAGACAACAGAACAAAAGAGAATAGAATATAATAGAATAGATCACAATAGAATAGAATAGAGCATAATAGAATAGAATAATAAGCTGCTAAGAATAGAATAACCAAATAGAATAGATCACAATAGAATAGACCATAACAGAAGAGAATAATAAGCTGCTAAAAATAAAACAACAGAATAGAATAGAATAGAACTGAACAGAATAGAATACAGCAATAAAACAGAAAAGCAAGAAATAGAATAGAATAGAATAGAATACAGCAATAAAACAGAATATCAGGAAACAGAGGAGAATAGAATAGAACTGAATAGAATAGAATCTAACAGAATCGAATAGAATAGTTACGCACCCACTGCCACACACACACACACACACACACACACACACACACAGATACACACTGTTTTAGGCTGTATCAAACACAGTGAGCTACACAATGCTACAGAACGCTGTTCACAATAAACTGTACTTCTAACCTTTTTACAGAAAAACAACTGGAATACTGTTTTTTAACAATTTTGACTTCTCATTTGTGGGAGATTGTTAAAGAAAGGGTTATTTTAGGAACATGGTCTGACCTGAAGAAGCAGACGAGATAGAAAGGAGGAAACTAGTGCAACGATCTCTAGTGACCTGGTGTACAACTTTAAGAGTTGAAGGAGGCGTGGCTAACCTTTAGCTCATCCAGCTTGGGGGGCAAGGGTGGTAGAGGGATTGATATAAGGTTGTGATGACTCGGGCTGTTAGTATTGGTGGATGGTGGTTGAGGGGGTGGGGCTTTCTTTGTTGATGATGAGCCACTTGTAGAAGAGCCCTGTTGCTCCCCTGGAGGCCTGAATTAAAGTTTTTAAAAAGTTATAACCAAATAAAATGGCACAAGTAGCAATAAACATGTGACAATGGTCCATTAGTGACCAGTGGTTCACTCTGACATACCTGGGCGGGGCTGGGAGGATGGCTGGATAGTTTGAATGCTGTTGGCTGATGATTTGCAGCTGTAGGAAAAGCTGCTGTTGGTGGAGAAGTCTGGAGTTGCTGGAGTCTAACGGTTGCGGGGGCTCGCGCTCTGTTTTCTGATCTGGAGGGATGTACTGATGAAAGTTCAGCTTTCTCACCTTTGGCTTACCGTCCCTCTGCTTTTTACTGCGGTCAGCAGCAGCTTTACCGCCCTGAGAGGGAGGGGGAGGGAGAGAGACAGAGAGAGAGATAGAGAGAGAGAGAGAGAGAGAGAGAGAGAGAGAGAGAAAGAGAGAGAGAGAGCAGAGAAAAAAGAGAATGAAAGAGGAAGAGAGGGAATGGGAAAAAAAGAGTAAAAAAGGAGAGTGAGAGAGATTAAACAAAACAGATAGAAGGAGAAAAAGGACCAGAGAGGGGTGACAATTTGAGAAAGTGAGGAAGGGAAAAAAAAAGAAAGAAAGAGAGATGTAGTGTGATCAAGAGAAGGAGAACGAAGGAGACAGAGAGAGAGAGAGAGAGAGAGAGAGAGAGAATGAGACAATGAGAGAGTGTGACAGAATGACAAAAACAGACAGATTGTGAACAAGAGAAAAACATTGAAGGAGAAAAAGGACAAGAGGGGGATGATAATATGAGAAAGAAAGAAAGAAAGAAAGAAAGAAAGAAAGAAAAAGAAAATAAAGATGTGAACAAAACAGAGAGAACAAGAGATATGAGGCAGGAAGATAAAAGAGAGAGAGACAGAGAGAGAGAGAGAGAGAGAGAGATAGAAAGATAGAGGAAGAGGAAGAGAAAGAAAGGAAATCAGTCCTCATAATCACACTCTGAGCTGTGAACTATAGATGTGCTGATTGTATCCTCCACTCTGAGTGTGTGAATCATCTCTGATGCTGAGAAAATCGCTAAACGTCTTTTCTAACAGCCTTTAATTTCTACCCCTGTATAAACCGAGAGCTGCTTTAAAGGCGTTAATGCAGCCACATAACAAGTCTGGTGATAATGAAGCTGGAGAAAAGCCTATGATTATTTCACCTCACAAAACTAGGAAGCAACAGAATGTCAACAAAAGAAACTGGCCAATAACCTTTATTTGTCCAGCGGCAGGTTTCTGGGCTGCTGTCCCATTGGTTAGTTTCTGCTGAGAGGGAGGAGCAGTAGTCACTGGTAATGGAGGAGGTGGGGGAGGGGGGGGGGCCTGGGGAGAAGGTGAGGAGAGTAAAGAGAGAGTTTAAACACTATTTTTTGTGTGTAAGCGTGTGTGCCTGTGTGTGTCCATGTACCTGTGCAGGTGATGGGTCGCCGGCAGGTGCAACAGGTGAGGCAGATGGAGGGGCGGAGCCAAGAGGAGAGTTTTGATTGGTGGAATCCTGATTGACAAGCTGATCAGGAGACAAAGCATCGCTGCTGTCCTCATCACACGATGAGTTTCTTGCTTCTGAGAGAGAGAGAGAGAAAGATAGAGAGAGAGAAAGAGAGAGAGAGAGAGAGAGAGAGAGAGAGAAAGATAGAGAGAGAGAGAAAGAGAGAGAGAGAGATGAAGGACAGAGAGAGAGAGAGAAAGAGTGAGATGAGTGAGAGAGATAGACAGAGGGAGAGAGAGAGAGAGAAAGAAAGAGTGCAGAGAGAGAGCGAGAGAGAGATATAAGGGCGAGATAGGGAGAAAGAAAGAAAGAAAGAAAGAAAGAAAGAAAGAAAGAAAGAAAGAGAGAGCGAGAGACAGAGAGATTTGAGGATGAGAGAGAGAGAGAAAGGTAGAGAAAGAGACAGGAAGAAGAGAGTGAGACAGGAAAAAGAGAGAGATAGAGAGAGCAAGATGAGCGAGAGAAATATGAAGGCGAGATAGAGAGAGAGAAAGAAAGAGACACAGAGAGGGAGAGAAAGAAAGAGAGTGAGAGAGAGGGAGAGAGAAAGAAAGAGAGAGGGATGAAAGACAGAGAGCGAGAGAGAGCAAGATGAGTGACAGAGATAGAGAGAGAGAGAAAGAGAGAGATATGAGGGTGAGATAGAGAGAGAGAGACAGCGAGAGAGAGAGAGAGAGAGAGTGACAGGAAAAGTGTGAGAGAGAAAGCAAGATGAGCAAGAGAGAGATAGACAGAGATATGAGGGAGAGACAGAAAGAGTGAGAAAGAAAGAGAAAGATATGAGGGTGAGATAGAGACAGAAAGAAAGACAGATGAAAGAGAGATGAGAAGTAGAGAGACAGAGTGACATGAGAGAGAGGTGACAGAGAGAAAGACGTAAAAGAGAGAAAGGGTTAAGAGAGAGAGAGGAGAGAGAAATGAAAGTGAGAGAGAGACAGAGAGACAGAGAAAGAGATGAGAGAGAGATGACAGTGAGAGAGAGAGAGAGAGAGAGAGAATAATGACCAACTCTTACTAAAATACTTACTACTATTACCTGATTGGCTGCAGTTTGGGTAAAAAATACCATATTCACTTGCATTAGATAGAAGTACATTGATTTTCACTTAATTCACACAGCTGTCACTGCTGAACAAAACCTTGTTACTCAATCAGAATCAGCCAAAATTCATTCAGTTTTTGCTCCAAACACATGATCAGCAGTTTTTTATTTTTGTTTCAGCCAGCCTAATTTCTTGCAAATTTCTTATATAAATAAGAAAATTTGTGCTGTAGTTGAATGCTGCTGCTACATGTGTATCCAAATGTCATAGCACAATTATGTATGATTCATTGTAATTAAATAGGCAGGAGATTTTTCATTTAAGCACCGGTTTGGCTTATTAAAGTCCAAATAATGTTATTTATACTATGACTTTGGCTTGTAGAATGTTTTTTCGTTCATGTTTTCGCTTAACCCATCCAGTGTGAGCTTTAGGTTATTACTAGAAAGTGGCCAAAATTATTGGTCACCAGTAAATTTGACTACGAAGAATCTGAAATTGAAATTAGAATTTAGGGGAAAGAAGGACTGTAATGTACTTTAATGTAAAATAATATTGGATCATTTGTATTGGTCCATTCATCTTAAAATGTTCACAAAATGTAAAGAGCAGCTGGCGTTTTCAACTAGTGTAAAAAAAAAAAACCAGAAAAGAGGTTTTGACATGACAGCAACAAAATAACTGTAATGTTCGGTGGTTTGGCAGCATCTTTAAAGCTTCAGGGTAAGGTGTTATGTGTCTCTGCTGGACGTTCAGGGTCAGCCAGCTCGCCCACACACACACACACTCACAGCCACACATGCGTGTGTACAAATATAGATTCCGGTCTGTTTTGCTTTGAGTCTGCGTTTGATGCGTACCAACAAAATTAACATAACCCTCCAATTAATTAGCACACAAACACACACCAGTGCCTGGAGCCTCCCTACATAAATTCAGAGATGAAAATGAGTGTGAAAATGAATGTGTATGTGGTGACGATGCTGTGGGGATTCGCTGTGTTTATGAGAGGCTTTGAAGAGGACGAGAAAGAGTCAGAGAGAGAGAGCTAGAAGTTGTTTGACACAACCTCTCACAACAAAAATATCCTATCCATTTTTTTTTAGCTCTTACCATAGAGGTGCACTTTGTAGCTCTAGAATTACAGACTGTAGTCCATCTGTCTCTCTGCATACTTTGTTAGCCTCCATTCACTCTGTTCTTCAGTGGTCAGGACCCCCACAGGACCCCCACAGAGCAGGTATTATTTGGGTGGTGGGTCATTCTCAGCACTGCAGTGATACTGAGGTGGAGGTGGTGTGTTAGTGTGTGTTGCGCTGGTCTGAGTGGATCAGACACAGCAGTGCTGCTGGAGTTTTAAACACCTCAGTGTCACTGCTGGACTGAGAATTGTCCACCAACCAAAAATATCCAGCCAACAGCGTCCTGTGACCACTGATGAAGGACTAGAGGATGACCAACACAAACTGTGCAGCAACAGATGAACAATCGTCTCTGACTTTACATCTACAGGGTGGACCAACAAGGTAGGAGTGTCTAATAGAGTGGACAGTGAGTGAAAAATACTCCAGCAGCACTGGGGTGTCTGATCCACTCAGACCAGCGCAACATACCACTACCACATCAGTGTTACTGCAGTGCTGAGAATGATCCACCAACCTAATAATAACTGCTCTGTGGTGGTCATATGAGGGTCCTGACCACTGAAAAACAAAGGGGGCTAACATATTAGATTTTTGCCTGAATTATTGGACAGCACTCTCCACACCATCGTTATCAAACAATGGGAATATCATTTGATGGAATGGTTATTATGAGTATATACAGTACGGTGCAAAAGTCAGAGACCACCCTTCATTTAATTAATTTCCAGCCAAAACAGCAAAACAGTCATTAAGTACAAGTTATTTGTTTTGCAATGTTAAGAAAAAACACAGAAAACATATCTTACCAAAACATTACACAGAAATTAAGTATAATATATTTTTTTAAGTGTTTAGTGTCCACTTTGTCTTTATTGCAGCTTCCATTCATTTCAAGAGACTTGCTTTCAGTTTTTCAAAGAAATCTGCAAGGATATTTTTCCATACCTCCAAAGTTCAGTCTTAGAAGTTGGTTGCATTTTCTCCTCCTCACAGTCCAAGTAATCCCAAACACATTCAGTGATGTTGAGGTCTGGACTCTGGGGTTTCTTTGATTGACTTGGAAATTTATTCATTTTTGTCTACTTCCTTCTCTCAGTAAGTGCTTCTTGACAGCTACACGTACTTTTAGACTCACAGCACTGAGTTGTTTTCTCAGTGAAAGGATTGACAGAAGCACCTGTGGATTTTTTCAGATCTGAAGCAAGAGTAGAGCTTGATTTTCTCCTCTCTCCCCAAGATAACAGCTTTAAGTACTGTTTATCTGAAGGTGACAGTTTTGGTGGTCTACCAGGTCTCGCACAGGTGTTAAAAGACCCTTTTTTTATTATATATTTTAATCACCATTTTTTTTCCTGACTTGTTTATTGTTTTTTTCAATGACTTTCTCATTCCTTAGTGGATTATCTTAGCTCAGAAACATCTACTGAAAAATTGATAACTTGTACTTAATAGCTGTTATGACTGGAAATTAAATAAAGGAACAGTGGTCTCTGATGTCTGCACAGCACTGTATGACCCCATGTCCTTTATGTATGTGTGTGTGTATAATACCATACCTAAAATAGCCTGTTTGATGCTGCTGTCTACTGCTATGATGTTTTTCTCTATTAGCTCCATAGGCCCGGGTCTCTGTGACAGTTTATCATTCAGATCATCAGCCAGACGTGCTTTCTTCAGCATCAGCTGCTTTGCCTGCAGGGACGCCTCTGCACACGTCTCTACATGCACACACACACATCACACTTAGTATAATATAGCACACACAAACAGAGTACAAAAAGATTCAACACAACATCCACACAGAGCACCCAGTATAGCAACATCAGATGGGACATCAATACAGTACACACACACAAACTACAGCAACAATACTTGCCTATCAACATTTGGGGACACCTAGCTTTTCAAAATATTCATATAAATGAGCATGTTTTCTCTCTCGGTTTGCAACCAAGTTTATTTACAGCAGAAACAATAACATATATAAATATTTATGATAATATTAGTAAGAGAGCTTGGGAACAATACTAAAGCCCACCCAATTTACCCCCTTCTTTTGTTGTCAGCACTCATCAACACTCAGCAGGTGTTCAAAACACACTGGAACCTATATAAGGGTTGTGTAGTAACCTAATACATGTAACAGCATTACATAATCAGGATGCAACAAAAGATAACTGTATTTCTTCATGCCTTCCACATGGTCAACCACAAGATCCTCCTCTCCCTCCTCACCAACCTTGGAATCATTGGCTTTGCATGGATTCACTGGAAGGGCGCTCTTAGCAGGCAACATGGAGAGGATACACACTTTACACTTGCTCGCTTGGTGATGTAATATCCTCTTATGGCTTCTCCTACCATTGCTATGCTAATGATGCCCAACTAATCCTTTCTTTCCCACCTTCTGACACTCAGGTTTCCAGTCGCATCTTGGCATGTCAAGCTGGCACTGCTACATGGATGGCAGCTCACCACCTGAAGCTCAATCCCTGTGACACCAAGATGTTATTCATCTAAAACTACAGGCCCACACCATGATCTCGCCATATCATTCAAGAAGTCCTTGATCATTCCATCTGAAGATGCATGAAGCCTTGGTGTGATTCTGGTTGAGCAGTTATCATTCTCAGCTCTTATTGCAAACCTGACATGGTCTGACTAAGTAGGGATGGGCAATATGATGATATTTTATCGTCACTGTGATAAACAATATCACAATATGCTTTTCTAAGTATATTGTAGATTTTGTGGAATCATGGAATTGCATTTATCATTAAAAATATTAATAGGATTTGGTGCAGTATGTGAAATGTTGAATAAAAATCATTGGTCTTCATAGTAGTTTTGAAATGTTGTACTGCTGGTGCATTGTTTCATAACAGTTTTACAAATAGAACAAATGTTTATTATATTAGTTCATGGCCCCTTATGTCAATCCAATGTCATTTTATTTCATGAAACTTGTGAATACTGACATAAGCTGTTCATATATACCAATATGTATCAACATTTATCTAGTATTGCTTTATAAATTTGTTATTCAATGCTTATTCATGTGTCATGAAGACCCCATGTTGGTAGCCTTCAAACAAAGTGCTGTTAGATTATATATGCTTTTAAATCATCATGTAAAACCTAATCTTCATACCAAGGAAGACACTTTGATGAACATGCAGCTAGAAATTGAAGCTAATAATACTGAAGGGTTTAGTTGCTGAGTTAAGTTTCCATAATTCAAACAATATACTATTCTGAATGGTAAAACAGTGATAAGCCTGAAAAAAGTCTTTGCCCTACAACACTCTGCATGTATCTCTATGCTCTAGATAAAATTTACATTTTACACCGAAACTTCTCAAACCTATCGAAAAGTCATGTTTCCAGCATCAGGCAGCATTGTTCATAATCATTTTATGTAACAGCTTTTTTTGTGAGGGAGCTTTTAGAGGCAATAAACATTTCAGATGTCTGGTTCTTATTGTCACTGTTGTGGACAATTCTGATATGATAAGGTTCACTTTTTTAACACTACACTACACTGCACTAAATGACTTTGTTTACATCATAATAATTGATTTAATTACTTTTTTCATCAGTGGAATTTTCTTTTAACCGAATAGTAATGGTGAAAAAAAGGGTTCCTGAACTTTTGATAGACAGCGTACTATATTCTCAGGGTCGCAATCTCATGGTCAGCAGAAGACTGCATTTTAAAAGCACACACTAGACACATTCTATCTTATCTACTGCACAGTACAGCAGCAGCTTTAGCAGATTTGGGTATAATGTACATTATCCTGGATTTAGCAGCTGTGGCTTTAGCGTGTGTTCTAATGCACCTATAGGCTGAAGGTGCTGAGGTACAGAATATAAAGCTCAATGCTTTATTGAGAATCCCTTAGCTCAGAGATGAGAGAGAGAGAGAGAGAGAGAGAGAGAGAGAGAGAGAGAGAGAGAGAGGTATATATAGAGAGAGATTAGGAAGTGCTGGAATTATTCTAAATGAAGGCTTCATTCTGTCCTTGGGCAAATGACACACATGAGTGGCATTAGCAGCTTCCTGAGCTCTTTCTACACACTCGCTTATTCAGATGTCAGTGTGTGGACAGGTGTGTGGAATATGGCTGTCACTAGCTATACAAGCAATCGTAGACAACTGCCCAATGCATTGTGGTAGATTTTGATGATTGGAGACGGCTTCCAGGAGGACGTAACTTTAATAAAACTTACAACTAGTGCACGCTGGAGGTGAATGCCATATTTACTAGGGACTGTATCTCTCTTGATACTGATTCCGATGCCTAAACTTATGATTAATTGATAGAAAAGTAAAAGTCTAAAATACATATTTGCTAATGAAGCTGCTGTAAAACACAACAGGATTAGAAAAGGCCTTCTACACAGCACTGCTGTATCTGATCCACTTGTACCAGTGTAACACTAACTCACCACCACATCAGTGTTACTGCAGTGTTGAGAATGAACCACCACCCAAATGTACCTGTGGGGGTCCTGATCATTGAAGAACAGGGTAAAAGGGGGCTAACAAAATATGCAGAGAAACAGATGGACTACAGTCTGTAATTGTAGAACTACAAAGTGCACCTATATAGTAAGTGGAGCTGATAAAATTGACAATGAGTGTAGAAACAAGGAGGTGTACTAAATTAAGTGGCCTGTCTGTGTATCCACTCACTGATTGGAACATGCAAGCACTTTTGCTCTTTCTGGATATCAGTGATTTAAAAAGAAAACTGTGTTTACTCTATGGAAATTTTCATGTTTAGTTATTGCATTCATATGATGAAAATAATGTTATTAAATTATTAAGAGTAAGAAATACTTTCTGATCTTCTTTTATCCACTCTTATAGCTCACAGAGCAAAATGCACTGCTCTTTAAATGAAAAAAAATCAGTTTTGAGCAAACAGAAGCTATTAATCATGATGAAATGCACAAAATAATGCAATTAAACAGGATAAACATTTTAATAGTTTGACAGCCCTAATTCTTATATAGAAGAGTAATTAGCTTTTGCTACATCATCAGTAGAACTGTGTGGTTTTACTATCTCTTAGCTTGTGTTGTGTTTAACACATCTTTTTTGAGTGTGTAAGTGCTCATAGATGTGTATGGCTCTAAATAAGCGGCTGTGTTGGTTGCCTGAGGCTCTTAATGCTAATACTAACGTTAATGCAGTGCCAGTACTGAGGCAGTAGGGGGCGCTGTAAGTGACTCACCCTCCAGAATGTGCATCCTGACCAGCTCAGAGCGAGTGGGACGACTGCGGATCTTGCGCTTCAGATAGTCCTCTGTCTGCAGAAAGAAAAAGAGGGAGGTGAGAATGAGAGAAAAGGGGATGAGGCAGATGAGTTTTGCAGAAAATGCTTGATTGTTGAAGTGCATTGAGACTGTTACTGACCCTAGCTCTCTCTAAACTGTGTCTCTGTTCATGGAAGGCAGCAGGACTCTTCAGCGCTGAGTGAGAGAGGGAGAGAGAGAGAGACTTTCAGTTTGTTGTTGTTGTTTCTATCCCTGCAATGTCATAAAAACAGGCCACAGCCCATTGCTGACATCAGTGCAGCCATCTTACCTAAACCAATGCATCTAATAGCAAGACTGTGTACACCAGAGGGGACCCTTCAGGGTCTTCTAGGCCTTCAGAAGGCCTAATGACTTCTAAGAACTAAAAAAAAAAATTTTTTTTTCTGTAACTTTTAATTTTCTGTAATTTTTGGTTTATTTTTATTCAATAGATAAAGCTTGTATGTAAACTCTGCAAGTATTACAACACTACTCTTGTTTCATTGTAAAGGGTTAAACTCTTGAAAACTGACCAATGAGGAATATTTTTTCTCTGTAGTATCTAGACAAACAGAGCTAAGCAAGCTCTCCTATTGTTATGATTTCAAGAGCTGAAGAGATGGCCTAACATGTTAGATTAACCCTCAGCATAATTGCAAATTGACACAGGAATCAACCAATCACGTTTGTATTTCGATTGAGCGAGAGGACCATTTTTGTGAGAAAAAAATCTATGCCTGGAACTGGAAGTTCTAGATAAGTGACTGACGATGAACATAAGCTGTACCTTAATCAGTGGGTTGTTATAAATGGAAAACAGCAGCAGCAGCTTTATATCAGTCCTCGCTACTGAAAGAGTCACTATGAAACTGCTAGGCAAAATATATGCGAACATATCTGTCACATGCTTCAAGTAAACATGTAGAAGCTTTGAATGTCTGTGTTTAATCTAGAACTGCCAAGAAGATAAAAGAAGATAAAAGAGAAATGTATTAAATGAGCAGTAACATCAAACAAAGATAATTTTCCTTTCAGTTAGTGTGAATCAGACAGTGGGTAACAGCTCATTCTGCTAAAAAATTCAACTGACTCACACAGCTGCTCGGCAGCAGCCCTGTGTGATGGAGTTTGAGGCTGTGCTTTAACTCAGAGCTTCCATCATTAAAAGGAGTGAACAAATCACAGCCGCAACCATAACCTCTGATGTGAAAGACACCGCAAGTGTTAATGTTATGTTTTCAAAACTTGTGACATCCCTTTTTTCTCTAAAACTACAAAACTCAGTGTGAAAATGCTTTAGACTTCATTGCCCACTTCTGTTTCAAATGGAAACTGCATTAGATATACTGAATGTGTTCATCCATTGTTTTTTATATATTAGAAATATCAATACTTATTGATCATTTCATCCCAACTTATTGACCTATTTAAAATCGCTTATCATCCCAGCCCTGTATATAAGTGCATAAAATAATGTTATTTTAGGCAAAAAAACACAAAAAAAGCCTCTGGAAAAAAGTGCACTATTCTATGTGTATCAGCATTTAGTGTTAACTATACTATTACAGAGTATTAACATATGGAGGGCTGGCTTGTGAAAGTCTAATAAAATTAAATTAAAAACGAAATGGACACCTATTGTTTGGCTTAAAAATTGTTTTATACCTTTTATATTTATATACTTATTATTTGTGCTTATCAGCAGTGCCTGAGCAGTGGTTGTATCTCTTGCACTGTGTCTCCTTGTTCGTGTCCCTGTTTAGCTTGTGAACCCTCATGTGCTGTAAGGTGCTGAGGAGAATATCTGAAGAGAATGTCACATGTATTTGTTTAAATATCACACATACATGTTTAAACACATTGTTTTTTTGTTGAAACTACACTATGTCATTTTGTTAAAAGTGATGTGGAGTGTGTGCACTGTTGTGTATCAACCAGCAAAGCCTGAATTCAAAAGTCAGAGGTGTGGGGTCAGTTTTGGCAGCAGATTTTTGGTCCACGTCATACTCCTTTACATGCACGGGTTCACAAAAGTGGTCAGACTCAATGTTTAGGGCTCACAGACAAAATTGACATTATAGTGATGACACTATCTGGGAAGGGGTCCGAAGCACAACCCAAGTTACGAAGTACTCTTCCACACTTTGTGTGCAATTATGCATTTCCACCAGAGAGGACTCCAAATCTCCAAAACATACATATTGCATTTTTAATAAGTCATGATTTGGTCTGTTCACAACATCTTAATATTTCGACCAATCCAACCAATTCGGTGTGTCTTCTGATTTTTCACATATAATGCTGATAAAATAGTAGTAAAGCTTAAAAAACAAACATATTTTAGCCCAAAACCTCATCTCCAAACTATCATGAAATATTTAATATGTTTACATGCGGTTTATAATCCATTCATAATTGGATTTCGGATAATCAGTTATCTGATTATTCAAATGGTCATGTAAACACTATACTCTGATCTAGAAATCCAATTAAGAAATCCAATAAACAATTTTTTTTTTAAAGTGACGTGATGTTTAAAAAAAAAAGCATGAAGTTCGAATTTTAGATTACATTTGCGCCACGTCTTCTTCTGTGACTTTATTGGCTGGTTGCGAAGCAGAAATCCGATTACTGTCTGATTCATGTAGACGTGGAGTTTTCTCATTGTCTGATTAGTGCATATAAACATGCTGATCGGATTACTGACAAAATCTGATTTTCTGCAGTTATTGGATTATTAATTGGATAACTCAATGTCTCAGGGACCAGGCAGCTTATTCATAACCATTTCATGCAGTAGCTTTATGCGAGGTAGCCTTATAGAGGCATTTGACACTTAGGCTGTCTTGTTCCTAACACCTTCATCAAGAAATCTGAGTTTGGAAGTTTCGGAAATTTCGCATCAAACCACTCTGAATTACTTTATTCATCTTAATGATTAATTGATGCAGAATTTTGACAGACAGTCAACATCTGAAAGAGTGTTCCGAAAACGAACCCTTTTTATGAGCAGATATTGTGTGTTAGTATGCCATGTATGCATCTCTGCACCACTGTGTAAGCACTATAGTGAGTGTGTATAGTGATGTGTGTGACCTCACACAGACATCTGTCCACTGTATTCCTGGAAAGAGAGAAAAGGCCTGGTGGCTAATTCAGTCCACTCATGCATGGATGATACATAATGTTCTTTGTGTGTGTTAAAACATATTACATGTAAGTTATTCAGTGAGACAGAGGCAGTCAGTATGAAAAGTGAATGACTCTTAAATCTTTGACTGCATGCACTTCCTTATTTCCTTGTGTTTTATTTCCATAAGGTTCTTGGCCACTTTGTAAATACAGTGTCAAAGCTCTAATAGAAAACAGTTATCAGTCACTGAAAGCTGAAAAGTGACCCAAAGCTGAGACTGAAGGAAGAACCTCCTTATGGGAACATAAGAAGGCCACTACTGAGCTAATCAGAGAGATAGAGAGGTTCTAGAACTCTCTGTGTTGTTCTACAATCTTTTCGATGTTGTTCTATCTTCTGTCTTTGTGGTTCTACAATAAGTTAGTTTCTATTACATCATCAGTAGATTGTTACATCATCAGTAGAAATCTGTGTGGTTCTATAAACTGTTAATTTTTTTAACATCATCAGTAGAACTTTGTGTGATTCAACCAGCATGCCTTCAGTTGGAAGTTCATTTGTATGTATTCTTGTTGTATTTGAACTCTGGAAGTATTGTAGTAATACTGTTATTTTATAATACTGTCATACGTTTTTGTTTTTTTTTTTTATACATGGTATCTATGTAGATACAGCCAGGCTAGATTTTCCATTGATTAGGCCTTCAGAAGCCAAACTGAATGCCGAATATGTCTTTTAACTTATTTGATCATACAATATAGGGGCCAATTTTGTGAGAACAAATATCACTCTAGGCCTTCTGGACGTTCTAGATAAGTTATTGACTGTGAATATGAAAGCATTTCAGTCAAATACCAAAATGAAAAAACAGCAGCAGCTTCATGTCAGTGTTCTTTACTGAAATAGTTACTGCTGATACATACAAGATAATATTTATGTTAATATGCCTGTTATAAGCTAAAAAAAAAAATGTCTTTTACATGCTTCAAATGTCCACACTGACTGTACAATGACCCAAAAATGCTTCTGTGAATCACTGTTTGCTAAGCATTAACATACTACTAGAATCCAATAGGGGTGCTAACAGAAATTAGCAATAAAATATTTTTTTTCCCTCACTTTTGACTAAGTTTTGACATTTATGGTCCAAACTGAAGGTCTAGCTATGCTAGTTATGCTCCATTCACATGTTTGCTTTGAAAAAACATCAATGCACACCTCATAGCGGTATGTTGCCTGCAGTGGCATGAAGCTCCCAAAAAATGAATGTTCCACTGCTGTGGTTGATGGCAAAAGTTGAGAAAATTGAACTGTTGATGGAGCGTTCCACTTAGTGCTATGGTCTGCAGACTGTTGCTGCTTGTGGTGGCAGAATTTTCCATTGTGGCTCTATTGAAAAAAAATGGAATGTTCCATTTGCTGTTGTCCGTTTACCACAAAATGCATTACAGTTCACCACTGGGTTACTGGGTTATACGCTATGTGCACCTTTATGACATCAATAGTAGAATTCCTGCCGTAGTTCTACAATCTGTTAGCTTTTGCTACATTATCAGTAAAACTCTGTACGTTACCTTTTATTACATCATGTTTCCATTATTAAAGGAAGTCTCTCAATTACATCATTTTCAGACCCTGATTTTAAAAGTCAAAGGAAATTGCTTGCAGTGGGTGGCTCAAATGTTAGTAAAGCAAGCTGAATATGTAATCAGAAGCATTTCCACTCCACTCACTTTTTGCATGGTCCTCCCAGTTTTTGCACAGCCCTCCCTCAAATTCATGTGCATGACAAAGAGAAACACATTCTGCATTTTACCATGCACACAGCCCATAAACTGCTAACCCTAACCCTAACCCTAACCCTAGTTTTGTACATAATATGAGGCAGAATACATCCAATCTGAGCCTGGAACTGTCACAAAAGGCTCAGTACATCTGGCCCTCTGTGTGGTTCTACCATCTGTTAACTTTTAGTAGAAAGTTTACTTGCCATTATAGTAAGAGTGACATAATGCTGCCGCAGGTCAACAGCACTCAAAGA